CCGCATGGACCTAATGAACCTCCATACCAATTTTGGTGAAGATCCATCCAAAGTAATTACCTGGACATACAACAGACAGTATTATTATATTCATATAAATACAGTAATAAATGTACCAAGCCAAATACGAGAACTACGTAAGTAACTACAATAACAATCTGGCTAAGAAAGAAACTGGTGTTCAGTAAATACATCAATCAGCCAAAATACAGTAACTAATGGTCAAATTAATGTCCAGTATACACGACCAATCAGCCAGAATAATAAAACTAAGGTACAATATCATTCTGACAAAACACAGTAACTAATTAATATTCAATATATATAGTAATTAGTTTCAACACTCAAAACTAAAAAAATACCATTAGTAATGTATAAACATAGATTAAGAACAGATAATTTTCAACCAATAAATATTACTATTAATGTACTAGATAAGAGGGGATTTAAAAGAAAAGACAAATTTCAACTAATGAATTATTGATTTTTGTTTTAGTAAAAACTCTGTGATCGCCATGGGAAATTCTAGCATTATAACTCCACAAGCCTACGGGGAAAAATAAGTGTTCTTAGTAATTTATACAATATAGCAGTAGATTGTGAAGAGCTGATAAATTTTCCACTAACTAATATTCCTTGTAGCTCAAAGTATAGAAATGGACTAACAAGATGAGACCAGTGCCGAAGTAGTAAATACTATTAGTAACTAGCCGTAGTACCTGTCCCCTGGACAGAATTTAAGTAAATACATGGTCAATGAAAGGTTATCTTAAGACATGAAAAGTTGCTTCCCTTATATGTAATTGCAAAAAACGCCCATAAAAACTGCAAAACACAAAATGTGAAACCGCAAGTTTGAATGTATCCCCGCATAGACCCCCAAAAAACTACATGCCAAAATTGGTGAAGATCCATCAACAGGGAGCGAAGTAGTGGTAAAAACCGCAGTACTAATATATGTATATAAATACAGAATATTGAGAGTTAATCACAAATTATTAAAACGGTGTTCTGCCTTTGGAATTACTTCTTCTATTGTTAATTATGCGTATTCTGACTGCCGTGTTTATGCATTTATCGTTGGATACTGTAATTTCACTAGCAACAAGTTACTACGAAGGACGTTGTGGTCAGACATATGCCACACATCTTGACCTATTTCTCGTAGACCCTACACTATGAGTACAGGTCGGCTTTACAGACCACGTTTAAGCAGGTCATTGTTACAAACATTCATTGAAAGTGTGGGAGAGTAACAGGCGGGTACTTGATCTAATGACCAGGAGCAGGCAGGTACGTGGTCTAATGACCATGACTAGGCATGTACGTGATCCAATGGCCAGGAATAGGCAAATACGTGGTCTAATGACCAGGACTAGGTAGGTACGTGGTCCAATGGCCAGGAATAGGCAAATACGTGGTCTAATGACCAGGACTAGGTAGGTACGTGGTCTAATGGCCAGGAATAGGCAGGTACGTGGTCTAATGGCAGGAATAGGCAGGTTCGTGGTCTATTGACCACGTTTCTCGTGAACACATTCATGGATTTCGTGATGTGGCTGGAAACTTGTAAGCTTTTGGATCATAATCCTTCGTTAGAACTTTAAATCTTTGTTTATTGTCTTGTTTACGATACCAGAAGATATGTCCTAGTTCATTATTATGGCTTTTGGAATCATAGTTTCAAGGTACACTTTTTTCAAGGCACTGCTCCGGATTGGCTTAGAATGTGATTGCGGAGTCTGTTGGTGTCCTAAACTGTTTGATGTGCGTTATTTTGCTTTGATCAAAAATAATAAATTAACGCTTCTTGGAAACGTTGTTCTTTGTGACTATACATCGCATAACGATCTCACTATACTAATAACACCTGTAGAGCCACAGCTCGCACCTAGGGTCATTGCATGAACTTACGTACGTTTTAATAACACTGATTAAGAAGATTAGCTGAGCTTCAACCAATGGATACCATTAGTGCCATACAGGAGTAGACTGAAAACAACAAATCGGTTTTAGCCTCGCATTATGAAGACGTTTTAGTACAGCGTGATAATATGCAACAAGTATCTAAAAGAGGGGTGAGATATTCTGTTACTCTTTGTTGTACTATATACATTGTGTCTAATAACTTCTTAGAATAAACATCTGCATATCTCCATGTTGTACGCGATTCATATTCCTAAAATATTATATTATACTCTAAAAAAGAAAGAAAAAGGTGTGATTGGAATGTGATTCCAACAAGCACACTGAAGTGAGAATTCACATCTTTAAAGGTGTAAATTTAGATTGAACAAACAAGAGTCTACACGAAAGGTGTGAATTTATAAACAGGATGTAAGTAGTACATAAAAATAAAATAAACAACTGTTGACAGAATTTTTTGCACTGATATCATTTTATGAACATACTTTTCTAAAAGAGAGTAGCCCTACCCCTAATGGCTCAGCGGGAAGTCTGAAGACTTATAACTCTAAAAACTGGTTTTCGATATCCTTGATGGGCACAGCACAGATAGCCCATTGTGTAGCTTCGCGCATAGTAACAAACAAACATACAAGAAGAGAGTAACTCTTCAAAATGTACAAATTTCCAATTAAATTTACTTTTATGGAGTTTATCTATTTAAAATATTATTATTAAATATTTCATATTTTTATTGTGAGTATGGAAACATGTTTTCCGACGAAACATATGAAATCACGTTTTTTGTTGTTGTTTTTTATCCCAGTGTATGCCCTGAAAAATGTATATTTTATAGAGACTGTTGTTAACAAAATATTTTTTTTAACAGCGTACTGTCCAAAAGGGAGCAAAATATGTTTGCCTAGGAAACAAAGATTGTCCAGTAGACAAGAGACGCCGAAACAGATGTCAGTTTTGTCGATTTCAGAAGTGTTTAGCTGTTGGAATGGTTAAAGAAGGCGAGTAATTCATAATTACTTTGTAGAGGTGATTAGGAAAACTGAGATTTCTTCGTGGAGTACTAGAAAAGCCACTAAACATAAAATACAACATATGTATAAAACATAACATAGATGGCGCTCTCAAGTTTTACTAAAACTCTCTAGGTTGGTTTACAAGTAAAATCGACATCCCAGAATTCAGACAAATGCAAAACTGGCTTACAGTGCAATGCACTACCATATTTAACTTGTTCATGGCCGACTAAATCTATCATACGTTCACAGCTTATATAAAATATGTTGAGCTACATCTTTGTAAAGTAGGATTTACAGTTTTTGATGTGCATTAGGCGTTTCTAACAATTCTCTCTAATTCCAATCTGAAGAAACGTTGTGACATTTTATTTTTGTTCCGTAATTTTTTAAGCATATCAGAGCCAAAAACAACAATAAAACTAGTTATCAATCATGTTGTTTATTTAAAAAAAAAGACTCACGCTTTAGAGAAAGAAATATCACATCTTAGAGTTAATTAATGTGAACGTAGAAACTAAGGAATCCGTTTGATCAGAAGTATATTGTTTTTCTGTATGCATTACACTAACTAAGATGCTTTTGAAGTAACAATATACAAAACAAAAAAATACCAACTACACCTAAAATAACAAAAGCAGACCACCTGGGGTATGTAAGATGAAATTCTGTAAATAATAAGTTATACCCAGAAGCACAATAACTGCACTACTAGTAATGTTGACCATTAACCATACATATGTTGCAGTGGATCTTGGAGAACACTTGCCACCTTCTCGTTGAGGTTTTGGCCTATCGTGAGTCGTCAAAACGTTGTTTACTAGCCACCAGTTTGTCTACTTGAACTGATGCAACAATGTCCTGTCTAATGATCCTTTAGTCGCAAAGATTATCTACTTAACATTACAACAAATAAATTTTCACATTTTTCAAAAATGTGAAAACACCTCCGATGTATATAGAAAAACACGTATCAAGATAACCACAAACATAATTACATTGCATAAAACAGTTATAAGCATATTTTAACACTGATATTTTAGCTATGACAAGGCAAAACCATTTTTCTAGCATAATCTCTAAGTTCTTAATTTATTTTAGTGCAAATCAAATATCTGCAATCAATCATATTGTTTGGAATGCAAATAATTAACCGTTTTAGCCTACGCTCGTAAATAAATATTTAGTATATGTGGTTTTATATCGTTTCAGTTTGCGAAATTTGACTTCAATATAGAGTATGGTCACAACCTCGATCACTGCTCTGAACGAACTGTGTTCACGGTATCTTTAGTAACTAGATATAAAGCAGTAGCATCCTATACATGCTCGATGAGACTGAAGTTCAGTGAACCAGTGGGATGAAGTTGGGACCAGTTGCAACAACAGATGGCAGGACAAAAGGTTGTAGCATGTGGTTCTTAGAAAAAGATAAATGTACAATGCTTACCAAAACTTGTCATTTAACTTTGCCCCTAGGTGGCTAAGCGGTATTTCTGAGGGATTAAAACTTTAAAAATCGGGTTTCGATACTCGCAGAGGGTACAACACAGACAGCCCATTGAGTAGCCATGTATTTAATAACAAACGAAAATAAAAACACTTACATTTATAGTAGTACTGCGTAAATATTTTATAATAAGTTTCCGACAATGGAATCTTAACTATTAGTGGCTACTTGCTCATTTTGCTTTCGTCTAACCGTTACGGTTTTAGTGGTCAGATCGGACAGCTTGAAGGGACGGCGTGGTCGTTTACCATCTAAACCCAACATACAACAGGAGTCACCACCATCTCCTCCTGTCAGCTTGATTACGTCACTAGTTCGTGCTCTTGTGGACACAACCCCTGATGTTGCCAGTCTTGACTACTCTCAGGTAAAGATTAAGTATTTGAATGTCATATTACATCCTTTGCTATCTATTGACACTTTTTGTTATCAAATTGTTGAAAATATATCTAAACCATATATTTTTCACATAAATATTAATCCACAAATGTTGAATTATATTATATTTTTAAGGCTTGTGTTCAGGTAAGATATCGCATCCCCTGATTTCCAGTCTTGACTATTCATAGGTATAGATTAAATATTTGATTGTCAAACAACATACTTTGCCATCTACTGAATATTAATGCCTAATCTTGGATTATATCAAAATTTTAAGGCTTTTGTACAGATAAGATATCCTATCCTTAGCGTGTACTTGGTGGTAGGAAGCTGTAGATGTTTAGTTGTGTTGTTTTTCACCAGATGGCACCAGATATAATTCTTATCAAATTCCTTAATTCGTCTGCCTCAATAACGAAGCCAGGATATTTCTTGTAGTGCAGATTATACTACAGTAATTTCTTTCCTTCTGCTTTTTTTCTTCAAAAAGACTCATATTAAGCTATACAAAAAATAACATACAAAGCTCGAGAAAATTAAATCACTCATTAGGTTGAGCATACGCCTACTAACAATATAGACATTACGTCACAATAGTTATTACAATATGGATAATTATAATTTATTCACATTTTTTTACTTTATCACTCGAATAATTTTAGTTGAAAATATAGATAATTGAACCAGAACAAAGTTTTAGAGTACTGAACCTAATAAATTATTGCATTCCCTTCCCTCTTCAGAATGGTGCCCCCCCCCCAGTGGCACAGCGGTATGTCCGTGGACTTACAACGCTAGAATCCGGGTTTCGATACCCGTGGTGGGCAGAGCACAGATAGCCCACTGTGTAGCTTTGTGCTTAATTTAAAAACAAAAAGGAAAAACTTCAGAATGGTGACTCCTTTGCATATTTTGTTAACAAGTGTTAAAGTTTTTACCAATAAAAACCCATATTTTCACCCGGAAACACGTCACTTTACTTTAAGTCTTACCCTTCGGTACTGTTCTTTTTTACCGTGTAGGTTAAACTTAATAATGGCCTTAAGAAGTGGTTGAAAGCTTAAAGAATTTCTTGTAAGAAAATATTTCTTTCTTGCGTGTAGTAGATCGTTCTTTATCTGTGATATTACCATCAGCATATATACATTGTATAGAATAACTATACAACCTTCGAGTACCAATAAAAAAGAAAACGAGAGCCTTATACACTAAATAAATTATTATAAAATAAAGTTCCGAAAAAAAAAGGTTTAGATGTTAATGACTATTTGTAAGAGTTACTGAATTTATTACAAATGGCTAGTACTCCATAAGATTTGTTTCAGTAGCAGAAAAATACGCATCTGTCATGATTCAGCAAGTGGTGAGTATGATTAAGTTCCTCAAGACATAATTGTCAGATACTTTGATTCCATTATGGTGTGTTTTAAAGTTCTAGTTCTGGATGGAATCCAATGTTGAAGTATACAGAGAAAAGATGTAATTTCTCTCACTCTTAACTGTGTCTGATAGTTATTTCACGTAGAATTAAAAACATTAATATATCACGTAACATACTGAAGTTTTTATTAGTTTAGGGAAGTGTTAGCTGGTGAAAACCCACTTACAGAAGCTGAACAAGTACAGCAGTTTTTTAGTGTGATGACATCATCTTTGGAGATTACTCGTATTTTTGCCGAGAAAGTTCCCGGCTTCTTGGAACTAAGCATTGAAGATCAACAACTTCTGTTTCAAGCCGCCAGTCTTGAGCTTTTTGTTATTAGACTGTCATATCGGTAGGTTAACGTTTAAACATGAAATTCTTGTGGTCATATTCAAAACTAGCATGGATTATATCACAGTTAACTACTGCCTAGCTTTCAATAAAGAAATAGACGATAAGAATTTTAGAAAACAGGTAAATATAAGAAAATAACATATTTTATAACGTGACTTCTTGTACCAATTCATTTTAACCGCGGATCATAGCGTCCAAGGTTTAAGATGTCGCTTAGGTGAGGGCGTGTTATAAAAGTAAGAGCTATTCTGTCATTTGATTCAAAGAGTCTGACAGGTTCTTGTGATAGCGGGTTCTAGTAGGTGGTTGCCTCGCTTGTGGTCAGTAGTTCAAAGTTAGGGATGGTTATACTTGAATCCTAGAACTCATGTGCATAAAGTCCTGTTCAAATTAAAAATTCGACTTCCACTGTAATAGAAACCACTATAGAATAACTACAAGATAATATCTGAATTTCAATGAAAAGAAAACAATGGCCTTATATACAAAATAAATTATTCTAAAATATAGTTTTGATGTTAAAAATCATTTCTAAGAGATAGAGCAATTATAACTGGCGATAGTACTCTAAAAGATGTAATTCAGTTGCAGCAGAAAAACAGACTATTCTGATAATTCAGATCTTCAAGATCTTCAATGCCAGAATTTTTTATTCCCTCACAGCATGTTTTAAATCTGCTCAAAAGTGGCATTGATTGTATCACAGTTAACTACAGCCGTGGTGTTTAAGAATATAGAAAGTGGTCATAAGAATTCTACAAAACAACTCACTATAAGAAAAAGAAAAAACATGCTGTTTTTCAACGTGGCTTTTTGCAACAGTTCACTGTAAGGAGGGAGTACAGTCATAAAATAATCACGTATTGTATGCTGTTTAATATTTCACCTTTCATCATAATGACATATGAAAAAATACTAAAATCTATATCACTTATACAACTATGTCTAACTTAGTTGTATATGAACTTACGAGAGGATAGTCGATTAACAAAACTTTCGCTTAATTTATTAGAATAATTTCTTTTTTCACAGTTATCTTTGCTGTGTATCTTCCTTGTATGAAAGTTGACAAATTTTGTGACCATCAAATTAATAACATTGATTTCTTTTTGAAACATTTTCTTTGTTGTCTATTACGTTATATTCGATAGTATAAACGCTGTACTGTAGCATGATTTCGTTATGAAATAGCATTAAATGTCGTTACGAAAAACAATTTAAATTAAATACTGATAGTTCAGAATATTGTCATCAGATGGCAACTAAATAGTCTTAAAATAGTCGTCGTTCAGACGCGGCTCGGTTGTTTTTGATGTTTATTAAGACACTGGATTTATCAACCTAGTCCAGGGTGGTTTTAAATGTTTGTTACTGACTATTTCTTCAGAATTTTCCTGATTGCTTATAATTTCTATTGCCGATATTATCTTAAGGTTGGATGAACGTAGCCTAACATTCTGTAACGGCCTGGTTCTTCACAAGGAACAATGTCGCCGTGCCTTTGGTGACTGGCTAGACGCTATTGTTGACTTTTCTCGTGCTCTGCACAGTCTTAATATAGACATATCTACCTTAGCCTGTCTCTGTGCCATGATCTTGATAACGGGTAAGGAATTTTCGATAAAGGTATGTTTAATTAAAACCATCATAAAATTATTATTAAAATATATCGATCATTTTGTGAAGACTACTCAGTGGACAATGGTAATTATTGTTTCGGAACATACAAATAAAAAGCATCTGACTGGCGTATTGCAACAAGTTTGTAAAAGTATGTTATTGAAAATTATATCTCATAGTCCAATATTTCTTATTTATTATTCATCTTGAAAATTCAATCTATAACCAAGCAGAAACAATATATTTAATTTCAACTTGAGAATAACTCCGAAACTTTATGTTTTGACTGTTTGTCTTGTAATTGTGTATTTAATATTTATAGTTTTTTCATTTTAAGTATTGAAACTCTGAGTATTATTTATAAGATCGATATTTAATTCTGTTAAACTGACTTCACAGATTTTTTTTTTTTTGTTATCAGTATATCTTACGATATTTATCAAACAAATATTGTTATTCGTTTATAATAATAATAACTAAAAAATAATCTTTTCACAAACTGGTCTATTTTAAACAAGTGCAGTGCTGGGTTTCTACGTTTATCCGTTTGTTTGTTATTAGTTAGAAATCTACACAATGGGCTATCTGTGTCGTGCCTACTGCAGGTATCGAAACCCGATGTTTAGAGTTATAAGCCTTCAGACTTACTGCTGAGTTAAGGAAGGGGCTCTATTCTTGTGAAATTGGGTTATTTATGCTTGTTTAAAAATTGCTCTGCCGTTGTAAAGAATATGACCTAATAAGCTTCAAATTTCTACTCTTTAAGTCTCTCTCACCCTCTCTGATGAGAGATTTTTTCTATTTATTCATTCATGTAAAGATTAAAGCGCCTTTTCTTCTTCTTTTTTTTATTCTAAACGCAGAGAGACATGGATTAAAGGATTCTCAGAAAGTTGACTTGCTACAAATGAAGATTGTTGGCGCCTTGCGTAAGCATGTGACCTACAGGAGTGAATTTCAGAAGAAAACGAACTACTTCTCTCGTATTCTAGCCAAGCTTCCTGACCTTCGTTCATTAAGTGTTCAAGGTCTTCACAGATTATTCCACTTAAAACTAGAAAATCTCGCGCCTTTACCGCCTTTTATTGATAGTTTATTTGAGTCAAAGGTTCCTTTTTGAAGTTAACGTTTATATATTTCTTTCAGTTTTTGCCCTTTGTAAAAGGATCTTTAGCTATTATTTGGAGCAGGAATACTAGTAAAAAACACGCCTTAGGAATAAGTTGATTTCGTTAAACCGTCTAACAAGTGTTCTGCAAATATCAAACTGAAACCCTAAAAGAAAGATATATTTCTGATCAAATAATGTAAAACTAATCAAACATAATGCTTTTATAAACTTTTCTTACAGTTTTTTACTTGTGCAAGGTTGCAATAGGTGTACAATCGGGAAACGTTTCGGTCATCAAATTCAATATGACAATTCAGTAGCAAATGTATTTACATTTTTAATTCAGCTATCAAAAGCAGTGGCTTAATTACACTATTTAGTCCAAATATAAAGTAGTAGTGCTTCTCACTTGTAATAATATGTTGAGTCTGTGTTAAACGATGGACCACATAATGTCGAAGTGATACATCTCGCTTTTATCATATTTATATTAAACATGTTTTGATTCATAACTCTGTTAACTATTAGTCTAAGAATTGGTGGAGATTTATCCATGATTAAAAGCTATCGGGTTAACTGTGAAAGAATTAACCTTAATATAAAGGTAACAGGTTTTTAGCTGTGTAACACTGGATAAAGACTTAACTGACTATAATGAGAAGGTAACTGGTTTATGAATGTATAGAAATGGATGAAGACTTAACCTTAACAAGGAGGTAATGGATTCAATTCATTAACGATAAAAGAATTTATAAATGTTGTTATAAACAACAGATTTGTTAATCAAACATTTTGGTGTTTTCTATTGAGAATTTTAATAGCTGTACTAGTCCATATTTTAGGACAAATATAATTTCTGTGTCTGTTGTGTTTGTACTTGTTTCAAGTGAGGTGATATTTTGATTAAAATTTATGTGGACAAGTGTACATTGAGTGGATAAACATGTTAATAACCTAAAACTTTCTGTATACCTGGTGTCTCCTGGTGGCTCAGCGGTAAGCTTGATAGCTTATAACACTGAAATTTGGAGTTCAATTCTTCGCGATGGACACAGCGAAAATAGCCCATTGTGTAGTTTTGCGCATAAAATGAACGAAACTATATACATGAAATATTTTTTGTGGTAATTGCAGGATATTATTAATGTCACTTTACATTCGTCGCTAAGTGTAAACGTTTTTTTTAACTTCTTACCTGTTATATGATAGATAAATCAAATTTAGTTTATTGAAATGGTGTTATATTATTATCAAAATGTTGTTCGCATTTCATATTTTATGGTGACTGAACTATATATATATATTTAATTAAGTGTCCCAAACATAATTATTTCATTTACAAAACACTAGTGAATTCTTATATATGGTAGATTATAGATTTACTTGGAAGTTTGTGATAAAACCTGATCAAACCGTTGTCTATAAATGAACAGTTTTTAACTATTACTCGAATAACACATGATGGTAACCCTAATTTTTATTTTATTTTGTTAGCAAAGTCATTTCAATATGGCGGGCGAATGGTCATCTCACTTATTCTTAGGTTGACATTCTTTTATGATACGTTTCATATTTAAACGCGACATATATTTTAATATCCTCAGCACAATAAGTTAGTCATATTTAGAATTTGATATCAATCTAAAGAAAAATATGATTATTTTTGTGGTAACTTATTGCCCTTAATTGTATAAAATAGCTTTCAACATATTAACTTACTTTGCTAAATAATAAGTTTGTGAATGTAAAGAAAGCACAGTTTTAAAATTTCATTTAAAGTTTAACAAGCAGAATGGTTTCCAATCTTGTTATGATATAGCTATACTATAACCGAAAGTTGACCAACATCTGCGCAACTGATCAAAAAATTATTAATTTATGCCTTATCTATTGACTTTAATCATTGAATGTGGCCTCACTATTTACGTAATTTCCTGCTTTGGTGCGAGAGAACAAACCTTTATTTACAATATCTAAGTGCCATGTTGCTGAAGTTCGGTTTCGTGAAAGTATCTTTCAAATTGTGGAACTCCGTTAAAATCCGAGGCTAAATTTCCCGCCGTTGGCAGAGCGCAGGTAGTCCATTGTGTAGTTTTGTGCAAAAAAAACACAAACAAATCTGAAAATGCTGACAGTATTCATAAGCATTGGAACGGGGAGACCTGGACTCCAATACATGGGGACAAAACTTTCCTATAGGCTTTTGTAGGTTTACAGTTTCTTCAACTTTTATTGAATTTTTAGTTCAAAATATTGCCTTAGTGTAGTGCAGTGGTCGGCAACCCATGACCCGCGGGTCACTAAGTACCCGCGGCAATAATTTGGCTGACCCGCCAAAAGTTGGCTTCACCATTGCATCCCGTAAGGGGAC